CCATTGCTACTAGCTACTTCCATTCCATTCCGTTACTATAAGACATATAAATATATCATCTTCCAGGTTCTTGGCAATTTCATGGACACGGGACTATCGGGAGGGGACTTCTGGCGGCAACTCAAATCAATCCGAACTTCTCGAAGGTTGGGGTATTTGACTTCGTTGCGTCTGTGGTCTTGTCCTGCTGGACCCCAGCCTGATTGCAGTTGTGTTTGTACAACATTTTCGGTGGTGATTCCCTTGAAGGAGCACGAGCGTCTAAGTCTAGAAAGCAACTTTGGCCTTCAACAGGTTCGCATGGCAAGATAAGCTTTTGAGAGCTCTCTGGCTTCACCCGACCCTGACAGGGTCCTTTCCGATTTAAATCGCGATTGCATGCGCAACCTGTGAGACAGCTTTGCGACGCACTCTTTTCACACATCTAAATCAGATGCACTCTTCTCGTTGAGTCATCCAAGCCTGCGCGTAGGGAGGTTTGCAAAGCATGATCTAAACATGACGTACTCTGCCGTGTGGCTTCAACACCTCTACAGTCCTCTGATCCTCACCGTGCCCCGTCTCTATCGACTTGCATCTCCAATTTCGCCGCTGCATCTGCGTGGCCTTCGCAGGGTCGAAGCCTGCAAAAGGAGAGTTTGAAGCTTGGACAGCCCATTCGGGCTTTGATGTCACCAGGGACGGCGTCACGCACACTCAGAGTCCATCTCTCGGAAAGTTTTTTGTCATGTTCGGAGACTCTTGAAACCGCGCTCAAAAACCACTGCAAAACTGTCCGAACTACAAGCCGCACATCCAGCTTAATCACGGCAAGTCGCTCGACCGGTGAGCAGAAGATCTGCCTGTATTCGCTGCCTGTATGGAAAATGTCCAGGACGGAGGGGCTTGCGGCACTTTCTATTGGGGTCGATGGCCCAGGGGAACTTCACGACAAAACCTTGCTAATGCTTCCCAGTGCTGAGTACAAGAAGCCCTCGCAGCGTTCTGTGTTGATCGACTAAGGAACAACGTGCAACTACGGGAGCACTGGGCCCTTCCAGGGACCAGTGGCTCATCTGAAGCTCGTTGAGTTGAAGTCTCCACAGCCTTATCCAAGCCGGAAACTCAAAACAACTGAGTTGGGCAGGTTGCATCGATTCAGGCGTCGGGAATTCCACTGTGGACGGCGGCCGCAAGTCGATTTACCTCAATGACGGAAGTCGACTGAACATCAGAAACTACGACAACTTGGCATAGCTCCGCAGCTGTCCAACATCATTGGGCACAAGCATCGCAGAATCTCCTAGAGATGCCAAGCATGCAGGTGTCTGCAGCGCTCCGTTACACATTCTCGCAGCTCCGTCGTGCATCGTGCGTCCAGCAAATGACTCGCACGTGCCGTAAATTCGAGATTTGCATCCCGTCACGGATGATATGAAAAGGAGGAGCACTGCCCTCACCCTCTCAGTTTCAATTCGGGCCAGCAGCTAGTCACGTTGCAAAGCAAGGCCAGCATGTGGAAGCCCCTGCACCCGACAGGAATGCTTGGGCTGGCTCTGATTTCCATAGAGGCAGCTGTTGCACTGCTCTGCGCTCCACAGGCACTGCGGCACAAGTCCTCCGCTCACACACCCCCCAAAATCCTCAAATGAACCCCAAGTCCCTATGATGCATGGGGCGGACGCAAAGGGTATGAGGACCGACAGGGCGAGCATCGACCAAACCTTGGCTGCGGGAAAGACTTCGGCTCGTGGCAACCGACCGACGCTTCTGGATCTTGGGGTTGGACGTCAGGGCTAATACCCTAAAGGAGCGACATAGGGGCGATGTGAAGGCTGAGACAAGAGTTTCTTGGGGGTTTAACGAAGAGGAGTGTGTGTGTGTGTGTGCATGTGTGTGTAGCTTTACTGCATAGGCGAGCCGGCTGTGCTTGAAATTACGGTGCATCTGCTGTATCTTCCCGACTTTGCAGCTCCAAGCTAGCTGTTGAGAAAGAGCCTCCTGGACGCGGGTTGCTGCCAGCATGTAGCCCAAGCTGTGAAGCTCAGACCCCAAAGCCAGGACAACAGCGAAAAGGTCTAAACTGCTGAAACATAACTTCGGAAGCATAGATTCCTCGACTAATACACGACCTATGCTCTTCCAAGTAGCAACAAAGGCCAGTGCGACCAGCATCGGCAAAGTTGGCTGCTGGAGCAAAGCATGTGCTTCCTGCCGGGATGTTAATGTCATTCGTGACCTTTAATCATGATGCGGCTTTATGGGAATGCCAGGATGTCAGGGGCCTTGGCCTCAAGTCACCGTTTGTGGCAAGACTAACCGGTGGAGTCTCTTTGAGAACCTTTGGATGCCACGAAGTTGCCAGCAGCCCCCCGAAGTTGCTGCAAGCTTCTCTGGCATGGCGATCGGAGCGATCATCCCGAAAACCCTTGGACCTTGCTGCTTCACCGAAGCATTCCGCTTGCCGCTAGCGCTAATTGATCTCGGAGCTTGAGCATGCGCCGCTCTACAGGGATCAGCTTGGGCCGAGAAGAAAAACTAGTGCTAGAGCACAAGCCTTTTAGACATTGAAGATTCGGGGTCGACTCGAAAAAGGAGATGCCAAACACAGCATCCCAAGCATTCCCATAAACTCTGAATGCCTCCCTGGGCTCGAAAACTCGAAACCACCAAGGATCGTCAACCCGCCTCCGCCAGTCCCAAGGCTACAGCGATGGCCGCCAAGGCCCAGGCGGCAGCTCCAGTAGTTACCATGGCCTTCGGCGAATTTCTGTTTAAAACATTCAACAACTCAAAAATATCGAAGTATATGTGAAGAGAAAGCAATGATTATGAAAAAGTAGCAGAAACAAAAAATAGAATTAAAAGTATTCAAGGACAAATCAATCCAAATAAAGATAAAATACGAATCAGAGTTGATGAAATCTAGAGCAAGTGAAGCAGACGAACACAATCAAGCATATTTTTTATTGAAATCGGAAGCTTTCTGTTGCAGTCGCCGGCTCCTGCGTAGGAGATCAGGGTGATCAGGGGGATGAGAAGTCATCTAGGAGAGTTCTTGAGCTTCGAGCTCTTTTGCCAGGCTTTCAAACCAGTCTGTAAGCACTCTTCAAGTCCTACTCCGCAACTCCACATGATCTAAGGCTAACCAACCCGTCCCTCCTACGCTCTCCTAAATGAATGGTCACGGCACCGAAAAGAAGCGGTGGTTGTGCAAGGCCACGCAATTTCCTCGGCATCATCCATCCAATGACTTCTCGACACGCTAAGCATAAAACTCCGAAGCAACATGGATGTTTGCATCCCTTTTCGGAGACACCAGAGTCTGAGTCGCAGCTCGTAGATCTCTGGGGCGGCAACTTCTCGTGAAGGATTGTTTCATCGTCTTTCGGACTTTCGGAGCAGTTGGGGCGGGAATCTGGCCTCATGCTGTGCCTTCATTGTCGCGTCTTCTGGAGCCCAGCACCTTTGGGGTCGGAACTAGCGACCTCGATCTTTACAGGTTGACGTAAAGGCTGCGTCACGGATCACTAGAGGAGCTGCACGACGCCTGATCCTCTGAGACCTCTGTTCCACAGTTAGATTCTCCTTCATGGCAACGGTAAGACGACAAGGTCCGTTTTCAAACAAATTTCTAGACTTGGTGACGACATTGACACCGTCACCACAGTTGTAATTGTTGTCACGCAACTTCTGCCTGCTGACACGTCTGCTCAATCCTCTCCTCGCATCTGGAACTGTACGGACAGACTCTCCCTGCTTGTATCTGGCGCGTTGCAGCACAAGTCTGACAGCGCCTACAGTATGCCAATCTCATCGAAAGCAACAGCAAGGACAAGCAAGGACAAGGTGCAAAACCCCCACCAACTCAACTACTCATGCAAGAGGGTAGTAGGCCGGTGTTCAAGTGCAGCCAGATCTCCGATAGCCCAACAGTGGTGGTCCATCCGCCAGAAGCACTTCCTGCACCCGGTCAGCTTAGAAACTTTCTGATTTTTTACCGGCGGGAGCATCTCGCAGACCTAGACTCTTTTCCGGCCTTTCTCAACTGTTCTTCATGCACCTCGTAGTCCGCGGCCGTCTAATCCCAAAGCCGTAAAGCAACGCTTCATACACTACCTTTCAAACTCTAAAGATCGCACACACACACACACACACCACCAGCCCAGAACGCTCCCGCACATGGCGCAGTGCGAGACACCAGGCGGACGCCAGAAGCGGCAGGTACGACACCAACCTAGTCGCTCCACGTTTTCGGTGTTGTGTTCTGCTCTGGGATGTGGCCCTTGATTGGTGGTGCAGGAGACCAGAAGCCAGAAAATCCACTGCAACAAATCATCTCACGACCTGTCACAGTCCCCTCAGAGCACCCTGAAAGTTTCCTGGACAGGGCTGCTGTGTCTCTACCTTGCCCTCCAAGGGCCGCGGCTTGCAAGTGGAGCGAATGCCTCTCAAACCCACTGAAGTGCCAGAACTCGAACGATGTGATCTCTTAGCGAAGCAAGGGACATCCAACTCCGAAAACCACAGCCCCGACCGATGATTTCTGGGTTGGGCTTGGGGACCGAAGTCTTGTCAGCCAGAGAGGCGATAGGTGGAGTCTTCTGCATGCCCTGGGTCGTCGTCCTTCTTTTCATCTGTGAGCCTTGCTGGATGAAGCTGCAAGTCCAAGTCTGTCTTGGTGTGGCAGCGGACATTGCGAGGCCCTCAACCCGACAAGCTCCTGGCGCCCGCAGGTCCGCTCAAGAACACTGCGAACACTGCTCATCTGCTAATCACTCTGTAAGACCCTGAGAGTCTCCAAGCTCTGCCAGGGCACAATCGGAACGTCTCATCCTTCAGGCCGTGCAGATGCGTCCAGAACCCAGGGTTCAAAGAGCTTAGGACCCAGACCTTCTGCCAAACCAACATGCGAGCATTGAAAAGCTAGGGCAACGTGACAGCCTCGCACTTCTCTTGCGCAAACACCCTCTGCTTCTGCTGCAAAATTCGGCCCCTTTGGCCCCCCAAAGCCTACAACTCTGGGTTTTTCAGTCCTCGGCCGGGGTACGCGAGAGAGTCACCTGCTGGACGATTTCGGCCGGCTTCAAGCTCGTCGAAGCCGCCCCCCCCGCCTAAGCCTCCCTCAAGCCTCAAGCACACTCTATCCCTCTCTATCCCTCTCTAAGCTCTGTCCCTATCCCCCTGAAAGGCCTCGCAAAAGCATAAATCCACACTGCACTCCCTTCAGCGAATCTTATCTTTCAGCCTTGTGTCTCAGCCCGCCTCGATGCTTGGAAGCCGCCGGAGCTCCTGCCATCGGACACCAGCATAGCGAGGCCATGCAAGAAAGCGCTTCAACGCATGTCCCCGTCTAGGTGTAAACGCGTCTTGAAGGGAGCTGTGGCAAGCCCAGCGGACCCGGTGCCTGCACGTAGGCAACCTCCTCGCTCCCGACCGTGCCGGGATCCAGAAAATTTGCGAACATCTGAGAGCGCGGGCTTGTGAAAGCGATGTCTGCTGGTGAAGCCACGTAATAGAAAAGTTTCCGACCGTTCCACGAGGCCTCGAGGAGGTGCAAATACTGCTTCGAACATGTGCAACCAAGAGACGAGTCCCACGATGCATGCAGTTGCCTCGTCCCAGGTTTGGGTCAAAGGCTCTGGGTAGCTCGCAACATCAAGGGGCACGAGTAGCCCGACGAGTTTACCGGATTTCGTGCCTGGGGTTGCCTGGAGCACGCAAGCTTGCACCCAGCAACATGGTCCAAACAGCTGTGCGGCTTGGAAAGTTTGCAGGCTCCGGAGTAGGCTTGACCGGTAGGTTAGCTTGGTCAATGCTGCTCCGTGGCAAGAACGACGATGGAGTTCCTGTAGACGGCGCTCGTCTGAAACCTGCCGGCACCGCACATCTAAAGGGCGCTGAGCCACACACATGTCAACTTTGTCCACATGCATACATCCATGCACGAGCACACAGAAGTTTCTGGAGCAACTAGACGATAAGCCACTCGAATTTCATAAAGCTATTCAACCCGCTCGCTAAAGCCCCTCTGGTCCCCAAAGCATGGAGCCAAGCGGCGCTAGATCCGTTTCATTCAAGTACAGGAAGATCACACCGTTCCCCGCCTGGATCTTGCAAGGAAAACCATAGATAGCACCAGGGTTCTCAACAAGTTCTTGCGGCAACTCGACAGTCTCAAAGCCCAAGCAAGCATAGAAGCAACTGCAGCAACAGCAGGGCGACTGCAGAACTGCTGGCGGTGGGAGCCGGAGCAGGAGTAGTAGGCGCAGTGGGTGCATTGGGTGCAGGAAGAGGAGTAGGAGTACGAGTAGTAGGAGTAGTGGGGGTAGGAGTAGGAGCAAGAGCAGTCAGTAGTAGTAGTAGTAGTAGTAGTAGTAGTAGTAGTAGTAGTAGTAGTAGTAGTAGTAGTAGTAGTAGTAGCAGCAGCTGTTGTGGTAGTAGTAGTAGTAGTAGTAGTAGTACTAGTAGTAGTAGTAGTAGTAGTAGTAGTAGTAGTAGTAGTAGTAGTAGTAGTAGTAGTAGTAGTAGCGGAATCTGCCTTTCCCGGAGCAAGCTGGTACGAGACTGCCATCGATCCCTCGATCACCGTGCAAGCCGGCTTGTATGATGAAACCGGCAACGTCCGACTGGCCACCGCCGTTTTCTCCTACTCCAAGCAGCAAAAATCCAATGTATCCGGGCTCTTCGGGCCAGAAGATCCCACACGGGCTTCTCTGGACTCCGGAAGCTGGGAGGAATCTGCTGCTTACGCTAGGTTCTTCCTATCTTGCAGGCTCAGGACCATGGGCAGCCACATCCGGACCATGTACACGGAGGTCCTGCCGTACCAAAAGTACAGCAACCAGGATGGCTACCTCATGCTGGAGAATGCTCTCGAGCACCCTCCACCTCCACCACCTCCTCCGGCTGCCAGCTCGAACGAGCCAGCGCCCTCGACACCGGCTACTGAGCTGCAGGGCATTTGGGCGGAAATGGACTAGGCTTCAATCGCAGGACACAGTCCACTCAGCGGCATATGGCACAGCCTCCGCCACGCGGTTACTGTAACCAATTGGTCGCGGGAATAGGACACAGTCCAAATCAACCTGAGTCACAGACTCCGTTCCAACGCCTACTGCCTACAGCACTGGCCTCAGCCCGAGAAAACACCTGCGCATATGTCTTGAGCGCAGTTGTCCGCACTTTTCAGCTCCCGTTTGCTTGAGCTCAGCTTAATCTCGGCTACTGGCTCCCCACTTGCGCGGGCGCACATGGCTGGCGAAGATGACTGCCCAATCCGGGCCATTTCCTTTCCCGCCGGGATCTTCGCAGACTACATGGAGGACTACCTCACCCTTTCGGCGCTGAAGTTGTACTGTGCGGAGGCCCACGTGTCTCTGCCGCCGGCAGCGGGAACATGGCCATCCAATGACATCACGGCATGGGCACATAAAGCTCTCCCACCCCTACAGTGGCAGCAATTCGAGAAGTATCTCGAGTCCATGACTACCATGCCCTACTCCGGGATGGAGGAAGGCTGCTTGGTCAATCCCATCCCACACGGAGGACTACTACACATGGTGCCAAAGGCAGAGCAGATAGCTAGCAACTGTCTCACTTCTCGCTGTCTCTCCATCTGGTCCTCGGTCCGCCAGGTTCTGCAGCACCTACCTTTCGAGGCCCACGACAGATGGGAGCACTCTCCCAGTGCGGCTGGCTCTTCATGTGGCCAGCGCTTTCGGGTTGGGGCCTATTGCCGAGTTCTCCCTGGCCTGCTCAAGGAGACGGTCTCCCATCCCAACGTCACTCGTCTCTTCAACGCATTCGTGTGCTCATGTCATCCAGGTCACCAGTGGACTTCGCTTGAAATCTTAGTGGATGTGCAGTCCCCACCGCACAAAGATGCTCGCAATGCTGCCTTGGGCACTCTGCTCATCCCGATTTCGATTTGCGACCAGGGCGGCCTATGGATCGAAGACCCCGACGGCTGCGACTACCAGGAGATCCCGCACCAGCAGGGGATGACCCGGGGAAGCTGTTTTGACCTACGAGGTCTCAGCCTTCTCTTTCGGGCGGATGAGCTGTGGCATGCAACTCTACCATGGGAAACCTATACTCGTGTCGTTTTGGCGGCCTACACGGTAAGAGGCGTCTCTCGCTTCTCACCAACGCTGCAACAGCGCCTGACAGAGCTGGGTTTTCGTCTTCCGCTAGGCACAGCAGATGATTAGTTCGAATGGCACAGCCTCCTGAGCTGAGACACAGTCTCCGACCATCTCTGCTTGTCGGTTGAAGTTATAGCAGGAACTACAGCACACGTGCTTCTACGCATCGCAGTAACAAAGTCACTGCAATTCTTCAGTCCTTTTAGGCTCTCAAGTTTGGCTCTGCCCTCCATTCGCTAGCCTGCAACGATGGAAGACGCATTCGTTCAGCGAATCTTCCACTTCCTGACGCCGATGCTTCTAAGCCTCGACTTCTACCTGCGGCTGACAGACCTGGATCGCACAGCCATCGACGGCTCGAGCAGCCAGTCCAGCCTCACAGGACCAGGCCTCACCCCAACCGAGGACGCGTTTCGTACGGACAACCTGACAGCAGCCAGAACAGGTCTCCTGAAACTTCTCCAAGAGTGCTTTAACCACTGGCCGGCCCTCTCCATCAATTACGTCCCCCCCTCTGCGCCGGACACACTGGACCCGACTGGCATGCATCTTATCTACGAGGTCACGCAGCCGCGTCTAAAACAGGTCCGACGACTTGCCACTGTCAACCGAGTATGGCATGACCTCATATCAGCCATGATCTCTGGTCAAGCCCGCATCAATACAGTGGAACTTTTGGTGGCGATGTCACGCCTGCGTAAGACAGGCTCAGTGTCGATTCGGGAAGGCCAGGATATTTTCTGCCTCCCGGTCTCGATGGCGTTCAGATTGCCGGTTGAGACCCTCACTTCACCTCTGGCACGCACAGCTCCCGCCGCTGCCTACCGAGCCTCGGGCTTCAATGCCTGGCATGCGCTCCTCTTTGACAGCTACGATGACCTGCAGAATGAGAACGCGCCCCAGGACTGACCAGCAGGTGAGGACTAAAGTGTAGCTCTCAGAAGCGCACAGCGCACCTATGCTGGCATTAGGGCACAGCCCACGGCCGAGAACCGAGACACTGGCTTGTGAGACGGCCGAGCAACAGGCCTAACTGAGCCATTGAGGATTCTAACTTTTTGAAGCTAGCACCTTTGCTCTCGGCTTGAAAACTGGGCATCCTCCGCACCAGCCAGAGTTAGTAGTGCGTGCACTTTGAGTTGAGCTACCTCTCGGCACGTCCCCTGCTGCCTGCCAGTTTCTGTCAGCTAGCTCCAAGAGTCTCCTAACTGCCATGGACGAGCTCTCTCTGCGCCAAGCTATGAAATACCTGCTCCCAGGGGTACTAACACTTGACTCCTACGACGCCTCGCCCTATCCCGCCTCCTACTGGAACGATCTGGACCTGCTTCATGATGAAGCTCGTGCCACTCGGGATCGCCTACGTGACCTACTTCTACGTTGGGCTCGTACGGGTCCCTTCTCGCAGTACTCCATTATCGGCGACACACTCAGGATTGACCACAATGGAGTGCATGCTCAGCTCGGCATCGTCAATCTCAATCTGCTACAAGCAATACCGCTTGCGGCGGTTTGCCGTGCGTGGTACTCCGAAACTGCCCGCCTCATCGACGGCAAGCCCTGGATAGGAGTGTGGAGAGCCTACATCCAACTGCGGAAGCAAGGAGCAGGAGTTTTCATTGAAGTTCTGCCAGATCAAGCCGGCACCCTTTCGAGAGAGGCCATCAGCGTCCACTATGAGCAGGTGCACTTCATTCCGACCTCAGTCTTGCGACGTCCTCTATAGGGCAGAGGGCACAGCCTCCAGACAATTGGTCACAGACCAAGCGACGCGCCGGGCTTCTCTACTTTGGAAAAGGCAAATCCGATCAGCGTTGCCCCTCAGCGTTGCAGCTCACTGTTGCGCTTTTAAGTAAGTTTCTCCGCAGTTTTTTCTAGGTTGCTCTCGGCTGCCCTGCCAACCATAGAGGATGTCATCCCCTCTTTGCACCGAATCATGTCGCCGCGCTCTCTCCTTCATCATTCCTGCAGTGGTGGTTGTGGATTTCTATTCGGACTACGGTTTGGACAGGGACATGCTGGAAACTGAAATCGCTGCATACAGACCCCCCAGCACTCTCGTTCCCATACTGCTGCTCCGGAACGAGATCCAGGACCAAGCACGCCTCTGGGCCTTTCGCCGTTTACATAAAGGCCTAGCTGTCTTTGCGCAACGGTACGTAGACACTGACTATGACCAGCAGGGCGTCCATGTCAGACTAGCGATACCGCAGCCAGACTTGCTGACAGCCCTTTCACTGGCGTCGGTTAGCAAATCCTGGTGCGCCGCAGTGCTCTCCCAGGTCGAGCATAAGCTCTTTGTAAGTCCACACCGCACTGCCAGGGCAGCTATGTTTCTCGGCCTACGTGTCATGGTCCAGTCCTTTGACACGCCCCAGTGGCACCTCGCGTCCGAAGAGCTCACCATCCACATTCAGCACAGCCAACAGGTCGTGGTGCAGAAGTTCCGGAACCCCCTTAACCCGGACGGGCCAACGGCAACCATCAGCCGAGAAGCAGAGGAATCCCGTGCTCTCTACGACCACTACTACAGTCTTTTCTGAGCACTTTGGGCCATAGGCAGTTCACTGACTCACGCAAGGAAAGTGGCACAGCCTCCGATCAGGTGTGGCACAGCCACCCAACTAGTCACAGTCATAGATGTGTGGCCCACCTGCCCAGAGAAATCGACGTTGTAGCATGCCAACACTCAGCTACTGTTGCATCATCGTTTGCTCTTTCCTGCGATCTGAGGTCTCAGCTACCACACGGCACCGGCTATCCAGCCCGAGTGCCCTCTGCTGGTGTTCTTTGCCTACAGTCGTCCTGCGTTGCTTGAGCTTCGTGCTTGGTCTTGAGACTCTGCAAAGCATTACATGTATACCGCAGCTGTCAGATCGAACTGTTGCTACCGGAAACAGCGGCAGGAGTATCGCAACATGCATTACAGACACGCCTTGCAGAAGCTAAATTTCGGAACAAACTGCGTCTTTGCGAAGAGCACAGCTCACCACTTGGCCGCGTGTCACAGACTCTGGCCCATCAGCTACAGCTGAGACCATGGACAAACCTCCCAGTCTGGGTCCCTTTCTGGTGCTCAGCGATAGCACCTTGCAGCACATGCTGCGGGGACACACGTACGGAGTGTTCCCGCTGCTGACGGGACAGGTCTTAAGCTGTCCAGGCGCCGCCCTCAACATCTCTGCCGGCAGCGTCCCCTCCATTTTGGAGCTCCTCCAGGCAATTTGGGCTCTTTGGGCCGCACAAATTCACAGCGGCAGTGCAGAGTCCGCCGGTGGCCTCCATCTTGGAGAACCACCTCGACGGACAAATCAACGTTCGCTTCATTCCGCTGTCCCGAAGCCTGCGCCCGGAGAAGCAAATCAATTATGACTACCTGATCGATGGCAGGGTCCAATATGGATTTGCGGACAAGAACCTGCACAACCAGGAAATCATGGACCTGGCCCAGATGCCTGGTGTAGGAGGGGTAGAATGGCTCTACAACTCCAAGAATCTCCATTTCCGCCCCGACGTCGCGGACATTGTCATCCCGGCGCTTGTAACCAGAGCCATCGAGGAAATGCGCAACACCCCAGGACTGCCTGTCCTCGTGGTAGCTGGTTGGAACGCTCGCGAGCAGGACATGCATGTCGAAATGCTCGCTGCCCAGGCTCTGTCACAATGCCGAACTGTCCGTGATCTTTCGGAGGTAGCCATGCAATACGGACATGGCCCCTGGGGAATGCGCTTCACACATCTCCCAGAATGGGAAGCCGCCCCTGTCCCGGCCCTCCTCTTCCAGACCTACGTTCACGACGAAAAGCCGGAACCGGCCCAAGTTGCGGCCAAAATGTTTGCTGGCTTCACCCGCAGATTCTGTGATGATGATGTTCTTCGGGCTACCCTGCGGCAACTCGCAGGAAAGTACGGCTCCAATCTGCTAGATCGCCTCAGCCAACCTGCTCATCGAGCAGACGTGTTCCGCTACGTCTACCACTACCAGCACGGCGGCCTCTACGTCGACATCAAATGTGGCTTCGTGGTACCTTGGGAACAGGTACTCGCGTATCTCGCAGCAGATTGGAGCACAGCTCACTCAAAGAAGGCAGGTGAAGTGGGTCACAGACCCTCCCCACCTGGCCAACTCCCACAGGAGTTCATGGTCATGGCCATAGGAGTCAAAGGAGATCATATTTTTCAAGGCATCATCTATGGCAAGCCCAGACACCCCTTGATGAGGGAAGCCATACAGCACGCCTTCAGCCGTCAGGTTATGACAGCGAAGGCAAACTTGGAATACATGACCTTCTGCAAATTTCTTTGGCAGATCTTGGGTCGTGACCTTGGTCACTCCCCTCAGCCGGGATGGAATGTTTCCACCAAATTTGGCCCCATCTACCTGTTCTCGGAGCGCTGGGACAAGCGAGTGAAGAACAAGAAGTACGACAATGATGGCCACTATTTCGTGACTACCAACAACACGACCGTTGCATATACCCGGTGCTGGAAGTGGCTGAAGGGATTTCAGGGAGACCCAACCACCAAAGAACGCACAGACCGCATGCTGCAGAGCCAACTCCCTGACATCTCCCTTGAAATCCAGTCTGACAGACCTGAAGAGCACAGCTCACCACAGCCACCTAGGTCACAGACCATGGCAACCGCCTCATCGGCTCCCCCTCCTCCCACTCAGGAGGATATTGAAGCCTATGTGGCCGACAGCATCCAGCACAACTCCTTTGCAGAGATCATGGCTACGGTCCGTGAAACCCACCACTACAACCAAGACCTTACAGAGCAGGATGTGCTGGAGCTTATCCCTCGAGGATTAGGGCAAGTGAAAGTTTCGGGGGACATGTGGTTATGCTGCTTGCACTGCCGGAAGCACAACAGGCAGGTGCAATTCAGCACTAGCCACGGCCTTAAAAACCACTTTGTCACTCAGAAGCACAACCCGGCACTCAGTGCCACGCCGGACCCCCACACTCCTCCCCCTCCTCCTCCCCCCAAGCTCCCACAGGAAATTCCTCTTCCCCCCAGCAGTACCAGGACCAAAGGTATAGACAAAGCAGCCGGCTTCGAGCCGCCACCCTCCCCCCCGTGCCCTTTCACTTCCTCAGCAGCTGAAAAGGCGGCTTTCAAAGCAGGCCAAGCAGAGACACCGAAGGCGGCCCCGGCGCTTCCGGTTAAGGCCCCACCGCCCATGGTGGCCACCCAATGCCCCCCGCCCTCTTCATCCTCGGCAGCACCAGCTCCCCCTCCGGCGATTCCAGTTTCCCCGATCCTTCCGCACCCCCCTAAGTCCGTCTCTCCCCCAACCCCCGCCACCCAGGCCGCTCCGCGCTCCCACACGCCCCCTCCTCCTTCTTCCCGTCCCCCGTCAGCATATGAGCCTCCGAAATCCAATGCGGAACTCGTCGGCTATGTCCCACAGCCGGCTCCACGGCTGACAGTACGTTACACGCGGCAGGAGCTGGCTCAGCTGCTGAGCTCCCAGTCCCATCAGGACTGGATTCGGGCCTTGGCTTCCATCAACATCCTGGTGGCTCCGGTCATTCTTGGCGGCCTCACCAACCAAGAACAACAGACCCTTTGGTCTACCAGGATGGAAGCACTCCGAGAAGTTCCGCCGCTGTTCTCTGCCATCAAGTCCGTAAGGACGCAAACCGGCCTCACATGGGACACCGCCATGTCGGTGAGGCGGGTCCTCACAAGCGATGGGAAGGTCACCATCGCCACAGGCGCGGGTGACGCCTACCGTGAGCTGGACGCACCAACAAAGGTGCATGGCCTTATCCATGCCTGCTTCAACAAGATGTGGGACGAAACGGCCTTTCGGCAGCATTTCCCCTCGTGGGTCGAGTTCAATATGATCGCCACCACCATAGTGGCAGTCTACAATGAGACGGCCAAATCAGCCGGACTCCCAGCTCGTGTTTTCCGGGTCAAACCCGACAAAAATGCCTACTCCATCATGAAGATGCGGATACAGCATGACAAGGGGAACGAAGAGGACAAGCGCATGGCCAAACTGGCTGCTGCTGCCCCCAACAAGCGCCCACAGATGCAGGAGGCTGACACAGAGGGCAAGCGGCAGCGCGATGGCCCCTCCTCATCTTCCTCGTCCCAGTGGGCCAGACAGGCACGCTCATCTCAGGATGACGACTGGGACTGGTGGCAGCAGTGGTCCTGGCATGGTTACTCTCAGCAGTGGCCAAAAGGTCATGACCAGTGAGGGCGGTAATATGTCACAGACTCTATGATCCCTTATGTCACAGACTCAGGGAATTCGGCACTCTTCCGACGCCTAGCACATCTCTTCGGAAGACTGTGAACCGCGTGCTAGCCTCGCTTAAAACAGCACTTTGCGCTTCAGCGAGTTGCCCACATCCAAACTGCCCAAAGTCTCACGCCACCGGAGTTGCTTCAGGTACCAGCGGTCATCCGCACATGACCCTTACGGCCTTCTGTCTTCAACATGAGTAATCCGTGTGGGACGCCACGAGACGGATACTCCAGGTGGCGGCTTCGTCTGAGGTACGGCCTAATTGTTGAGACAGGTGCACAGATGGACGCGTCTGTTCACACCAAGGTGTCGGAGAAGGAAGCTTTTTGTAGCAGTAGCAGTTGCAGTAGTATGTCAAGTTCGAGCTGATTAGAGAGACCTGAGCGATGCATGCTAGAAGCAGTTTCACGAGTGCACGAGACCAAAGGCGCCCGCAAAGCGCAGAGCACGCTCGCGCAGCGTTCAATTGAAAAATAGTAGCGGCAGTGGCAGTAGTCGTGATTGTCGCGGTGGTGGTGGTGGTGGTGGTGGTGCATGTGAGGTGGTGAGTAGCAGAAGCAGAATCGCAGTAATGGTAAGATGCGTCTTCTGCTCGTATGGTGGAGTGTGCCATGGAGGCGTGCATCTCGCAGCTCGTAACTTGCAGCTTGAGTGTAATAAAAACACGACCAACCTGCAGGTAAAGCTCCGACGCCCCCCTTCAACAAAAACGAAGATCTAGAGGCATGCTGTGGCAACAACACTGGCAAACACTTTAAAGCAATCAAAATCTTGAAGCGTTGCAATGCGGGGAAAGAAGTTGCATGCGCAGTTTCTTGACACTCCCTCGCTGCGCTACCGAGCATGCATGCAGTCCTCATGTCCCAGGAAACTCAAGCTGCTCTGCCGCAGATTAGAGACCGACAAGCATATCATATCAGCTTTGGGTACCAACAAATCGAAGGCAAGCACTCAAAGCTGTTGAATCAAGCGTCGATGATCAGCAGAAGACACAGTGGACCCGCAAAGCGCCTTCGAACCAGAAGCTACGATGAGGGGTTGATCGACGGGAGGGTGGAAACTAGAGACTCAGGTAGAACAAATGCAAACATAACCATGTTGCCCCTCGTTCTCCCGTGGGACTTACTCCACATCGGAGTCGAAGGACTTAAATCCAGCATCCCTGCATCCCTACCCTAACACTTGAGCGGAAGACAAAACCAAAGCGCTGCAAGAGCCAAACGCAGCAGAACTGCTCAACTCACCATATCATCGAGATCTTGCGAGTGCGGGCAGCTATGCGAAGCATGCTACGTGCAACATCCATCATTATTTTGTGCCCTCTGCCTCATCACATGTTTCGCCGAAGCCCCGGAAGCCCTGCAGCCTGGACGACTTCATGCAAGGACGCACACACCCCGGACAAAGCCTCCAGAAAGGGTGTGGGAGCGCTTCCTCGCAGAGCGCATTGAAAATGTCCTCCAAGGGCACTTGAGTCTCAATGTGAGGAGGTCTTGGGGTCGCTTCCGCTTCCCGCAAGGCTTGCTAGAGTGCTAGAGCAGGGCGACATCTGCCTGCCTCACGAATAAACTTGGACTATCCATTCAAGGCCTGCTGGCCCTCCATATTCGCAATGTCCAGCGGGGTCATCGCGACATCATCCTGGCTCTGGCTTTGGTGGCCATGCATGAGTTGCATTCATTAGATGAACAAAGTTTCTGCCAGTGTGCCATGGTCTTCGCCAAGGGATCCGCCCGGCTTTGGACCAAAAGGCGCACCTCGGGCTTTGCTCTTCAAGAAAAAGCGGGGGCCCTCTCTGTTTATTGGGGTTCGGGTGCTGGCAGGTTTGAGGGGAATCTGACAGGATGCACCTGCACCTCACGCCTTTGACTTAGGCTCCGGCAATATCCAACTTCTCGTGGACAACGGCCTGAGCAAGATTTTACCAAAGAGGCGATCCTCCATATCATCGATGACCAACATCTGTAAACTTTCGACCAAACCGCATATATCCGAGTTAGGCTAGACCCACACCCCCTGCAGAATCTCAGGCTTCGGCCAGATGAAGCCTTGAGAAGCGGGAGGCTTCAGAAAAATGGAGCGCAGGTCGATCTGTGGGGTTGGCTCTTGAACACCTCTCACATCCTCCCTAAAACTCAACCGATCAAAAGCGAGATGCAAGCGGACTAAGAGATGCTCGCACGAGCGGCTCAGCTACAGACGCATCGCAAGCCGGAGCGTCTCCAATACATCACGGGAGGCCACGCAACTTCGGACTCAAAGCAGATTCGTCCCGTATCCAGGGATAAGAACCCAAGACATCCCAAAGTCCCAAAGGTCCATGGACGCCCAGGGGCGGTGTGAGACCCTGGGCGTAGGCGTGCTGTATGTCGGCCCCCTCTTCCAACAAGTCGGAGACCATCCTCGGGTCCGCGAGCCGCACTTGTCAAACAAGAAAACGGGCATGGTAAGACGTAAGAACCACGCGTACTACAACCGGAATAGAACTCATAGAACACTGAGTATGAGTCAAGATGTCGGACCCTGCTGAAGAGTGCTAACTGGACATGGGCTTTGATCATCAGATCTTTCATTGCACCTTTTCCTTCTTCCTTTCACTGAAACTTCGGAGCCTTCCCTCGCACACGTGTGTCTCGTTTGATGGAAGGCTCTGGGGTCGTTCTTCTGTGGTCGGAATAAGCAAGTTCAGCGGCGGGGACGCTCGAAGCAATGGGGCTTACTGCCTGTCGATTATGGCGAGTCGCTCCAGGTTGCCCTCCTTGATGGCCTCTTTCAAGGCCTGCGAAGCAGAAGTGTCTAGGCCGAGACTTTGGCAGCACTGGTGGGCCCAGGTTCCTGTTCCTGGAGAAGTTGTGAAGTAGGACAGCTGCGGGAGCATGTGACTGGCGTCCCAGCACCAGCACCAGCACCAGCACGACCAGCACGACCAGCACGACCAGCACGACCAGCACGACCAGCACCACCAGCACCACCAGCACCACCAGCACCACCAGCACCACCAGCACCACCAGCACCACCAGCACCACCACCGCCGCATGTTAGCTGCACGCATCTCGTGGCAATCTGACGCAGGCGACACACGCAACTATGTGAATGACATTTTCTACCACCAGCACGAAATAGCATGAGACGAAAATTAAAGGGTGACCGTTAGAAACCTCCCGGGAGGGACTGGACACAAACGCGAAACCATGCGCCGGGGTCCCCTGGGTGCCAACAGGGCCACTCAACCGACTCAGGCTGCTGAAGATGCCACTTTGCTAATGCTCGAAGCCGAATCCTCAACAGTTTGGTCCTTTGCACAAAGGCCTGAGAGCGGGCGGCACTCAAGTCCGCCTCGTCCTCCTGCCAGCGTCACTTCAGCGTCAAATTCTCAAAGGTGCTTTGTTCAGAGCGTACGGTCGTGGCCGAGATTCAGTGGACGGGTCCGGGAAGCCGCCGCAGCTCTTGGATTATTAGGGTTGGGAGACTTGACATCGAACAGGGGTGTCGGGATGTGTCGGGTGACTGGCTTGAGCCCGAAAACCGCAGAGGGTGTTGTTCTCCAACTTGTGCCACTTGTTTATGTGCAGGGTGTTCGTATGGAGTCTCTGTGTCTGAAGCAGCTGCAGGTCAAGTTCGGGTACTTGGGGCGGGAGGAGGCCTAATTCAGGCTTCCTCAAGCTTGCGAGAGTTTCAGCGCATTTTGCAAGCGCCACCACTTCCAGACGCCGTGCCAAAGCCCCCGTCCAGGCCTCATCATCGTCCTCATCGCTTTCACCAACCACGCAGTTCATGGCAGAAGCGACCGAGAACAATCAGCACAGTAACACAAGTAGGTAAACCAAGAATGAAGAAGGGCAGATTCACGGAGCGGAATCGAGGAGCCGTCCAGGGTGGTTGCAGGCCTGCTTTTCGACTTTGTGGTCTCGGGGTAGAAGCATGTCGCAGTCTGCCGATGGCTGTGCAAGTTTACCGCAGTATGCTGTCATCGTGAGCCTTGACCGTGCGAGGCTGCCAGCAGCTGTTCAGATTGACCCTACACCAAACTTTCAAAGCTTGCGGATGCAAGATCGGGCGCTTCACGCACTTCTCTTGAGATTCTCCCTCTTCAACCCGCTTGACTCTTTTCAAACGCATCCTGCGAAGTCCTCCGAAGCGCTGGAATCTGTCTAGAAGCCGGGCAGGATCCCCTCATCGTGCTCTAACATAAGTAAAGTCGGCTAAAGCCTTGCTGGCTAGACAACTGGAACATGCTCGGGTTTAGGGCTTCAGGGGTTGTAGGGTATGGGGGTTTCAGGGGGATACCTGACAATTAAGCCGCCACTTGTGACTCCGCAAACTAATAAGGGGATCCAAGCCTTCCGCCGAGCCCTGAACCGTTCCAGCGGGGGCCTTGCAACGTCTACTGTGGCAGCCATCCTTTCGCCGGGGCCGGGGTAGGGCTTTCTGCTTGAAAGTACGCAGACTTCCGGGCGGTCATTTCTACGACAACGCACTGTGCTTTCCCGGCGTAGCGTTGCCTACATGTAAAACCTATGGCGACGGACGTCTTTCGTTCTGGGCAATCGTAGATAACCCCAAGTTGCAAAACTCGTTCAGTGGCATTCTAAAAGACTGAAACACAGATCTGACACTTCGAAAGCCGAACAGGCCCACAATGTATCCCAAACCCTGACCGACACTTCAAACCCTAAAGCCGCCCGAATGAAGTTTGCAGGAGCTTCATGCGCCTTCCAAAATACGGTGTGCTTGAGTGGCTATGATCAGTTTCGAGAGTCAGTCAATCCGGGAGGGAGTAATGGAAAAGATGCACCGACCTCCTTGTCTTCCTGATCGAGCAGAAACAGGAGGTCTAGCTGGTCTTGGCGTTCTGGTGCAGGGCTTAAATTACTGGCACGATCGCTGGGGATGGGGTGGCAAAAAGGCTGAGTGCGGGTAAAACTCGCTTCGGGTTCACGGTGTAGGGCTAATTTATGAACCAATGAGTTTGTGGCCCAAGAGCTTGAAAGGAGGACCGAAGCAACTAAAATCGCTCAGGACCAAATGCCCCTGGCGATGCCATGGCAAAGGCGGCTCGGGCCTGCAGGCGAGGCGAACTTTGCTGGCAGGACATGGGTAGGAACCTCAAACCTCTAAGCACAAGCCCCAAAACACACCCCGAAACCATAATCCTTAGGTGCAAAGACACAGATTAACGCAAGGCTCCTGGCATATTGCCTTCGCGCGCTCTGACTTAGACTCATGCCCATTAACCGCCCTGGAGCCCCAAAGAGCGATCCGTGCTCATCCTCAGGAATGGCCTTCCATTCAAATTTGAAGCTCGCGGATTTTCTCGCTCTCCGCTGCCAGAGCCTCTTTTCGTGAGGCCACGACGTGGTGAATCTGCAACCATAAGTCGCCAAGTCAGGGTTAGACCATGCCCCTACCTCATCAGATGCAGTTGCTGTCATTGCAGTTTAACTCGGGGTGGGGTCCTCCAGGCAAAAGCTTTTAAGCATGATTTACAGAACATGGCCTTCGTTTCAGCTACCTTGAGGGATGGTGCTGGTAACACCAAGACAAAGGCGAGCCGGGTAGATTATGGTGGTTGGTTGCCTGGGAAACCTTGGCAGCGGCTAGGGAGCTATATGGAAGCGGACACGCTCGACAGCAGGATTCGCATGATCACACGGCAAGTGCGGAGATTGACCGATGCACACAAAACGTGAGGCCACGGCTGTCAGCAAAAATCGATGGCTGGTCAGAAACTGCAAATGCCATGAAGAGCCCGAAATCCCCCAATCCTTCCGAGTGGAGCCTCCGGTGAATTCAAGCCGCGCTCTTCGCGGTACTCCGGCCGATGAAGGTCCACCCTCTCACTGACGACTCTCGTGTTTTGACGGATCTTGGGTTGAGGGTGATCCAAACCCTGAACAGCTTGCATGTCTCATCGGAGTTGACGAGCCTGCTCTGATTCCTGACATCATTACGTGCTCTGTGACCGAACGACTTCGTGCCAGATTCTCGCAACTTTGGAGGGCAGCGATAGACGGGCAAAGCGTGCCCGTCTCATTTTCCTATAGGTTGGGGCGAGTGCGCGAAATCGGCAGCTCTGACAACTTCCCGCGTCATTCTGGGCTTGAACTTCTGCTCCCTGAAAGAATCGACAGGCTTGGGACCGGCATGGGATGTTTTCGGAAATACAAGTCACTAAGCTTCCAAGCTACCTCGATCATGTACCCATCACCAATTTTCATTGGTGATCGTAATCAGGAGATCCTAACTTGTCAATCTTAGTTTCATGCGCTTTCTCTCTCGCTCTCGCCCTGGCTCTCGCTCTCTCTGTCTGCTTGCCCTCTCTCTCTCTCTCTCTCCCTCTCTCCCTCCCTCCCTCCCTCCCTCTCTCTCTCTCTCTCTCTCTCTCTCTCTTTTTCTTTCTTTCTGCTGGGCTTAGGGGTCGTTCAGACCCTCAGGCCATTGGCCCGCCCAACCCACCCACTGTGTTAGTGAGCGGTTGGCTTTGGGGTTCTCCTGAGCGTGGCAAGGAACTACTTAGTGTGCCCCGGGATTTCCTGCAGCGAGCCCCACCCTTTGCGCTAAACCGCCCGCGTCCCGGCCTCTTCACCGCGCCCCTTTGGCTACATCCCCCGTGCAGGGCTCGCTGGTTTGTTTCCCTCCGGTTGGCAGCCCTAGTAATGCTGGGAAAGTGCAACCAGCTCGTTGACCATAACAAGTACCCCCAAAAGCCGACTGGTACGTGTGTTGCATTCCCCTGCTTCTTTGCTTACTTCAGGTTTCAGAAAAGACTGCACACTACTGGGGTTCCCGGTGAGCTCGTTTGGGCCCAGACAAAAAAGCGTCACGGTTACCGTAGTCGTTGGGCAGTACAAGTTCACTTCGCTCCCCCGTCTCTCCGTTGTGGGCTGCACTGTTGCTGCGCACACGGTAGTACAACGTAGCTGCGACAAGCCATACTGCGGTTCCTAGCGGCAAGCCGTGCGCAGGAGCGGTGCGTTGCCCCCATGGTGAGACTAGCGGTACTTGGGGTCTACACAGAGGCCTCATTCGGAACAGCAGGTCCTATCAAACAGCTAGTTGCAGGTACTGTTGGGCCCCCAGGCTGAAACATCCGTAAGAGGCTCTGGGTGGGCATGTTCTCTCTTCGGTGGAAACACCTTATAAAGACAAGCAACAACCCCCTAGTCCTAGTCATCGTTATCGAGAGAACTGGGGTTGGAGAAACGGCGTCGCGGCTCAGATGACGCTCGTGGTGGGAACTCAGTAGGGAGGCCAGCCCCCGCAGCGGTGGTAGGTCTTGTCGAGGTACTGGCCGCCTTGTTCCCCGTCGTCTCCCCGTCGTCACTGACGAGTTCCACGTCGCTCCCCCAGTAGCTGCGGGTCCAAGCGTCTAGCTCCCCCAGTGCAGTTGTGGCTTGTCTTTGGGTCTCCCTTTCGAGGAAGGGGAGGAGCTTTCGCAGCTTCTTCTTGGCTCTGAAGACGTGCGTGGCATCTGGCCCTTCGTCTCGTAGCGCTCGTTGTTGTGGTAGTCCCCCACGTTCGGCTCGTGGTAGGTCTTCTCCCCCGCGTGGTGCCGCCACTCTGTTTGGGTGGGTGCGCATAGCTTCTTGCGCCCCCCTGTGTGGGTAAATTCCCACCAGCGCGTCCACTCCAGCTGCTGCCTGGTCCAAGAGGTTCCGTAGCTCCCCCAGGCGGTCCATGCTTACCGGGTAGGTCGTCAAGAGTGTTTGGAGCACCACTTCTGCCTCTTCTGCCGCGTCGGTCGCGTCGTGGGTGAGCTGCCAGTTGGAGGATCGCAGGCCTCCCCTCAGGAGCGCGGAGCCGCTTTGCGCCAGTTCCATGACTCCCGCTAGCTCCCCCTGTGTGGGCGGGTCCCCTCGTTGCACTCTGTCGTCGTAGATGCCCGCCACGAGCGCGGCGATTTGGAAGGCGTTTGGCGTGGGCGGGGGGGTGATCCCCCTCCGGCCCATGTCCCCCCCCATCGCCAAATATCGCCAAACTGAGGCTTCTGGCAGCGGCAGCTAGGTGGCTTTCCACCCCGTACAGCTCTATGCTGCGTGCCATGGCCATGGCTTCTTGGAGGAGTTCTGCCGCTGCTTCGGCTTGAGCCTGCGCCTTGCTCCCCGTTGCTCGTTGGTCCCCTCTGGCTCTCCTGTCTCTGTCCAGGTGGTCCCCTTCATTGCCCGTGACTTGTGTTCGGGCTGACGCTGCTTGTGGCTCCCCCTGTGCCTGCTCTGCTGCTGCTAGGGTCTCCTCGCTGATGCTTCGCATCAGGTCGGCTGCTTGGTGCCGCGCCTTCTTCAAGGGAGTGTCGGTGGAGCTGGTGGCTTGTCCCCGCTTGCGTTCCTCCTCCATCTCTCTCTCTCTCTCTCTCTCTCTCTCTCTCGTGTGTCGCGTTTGATGCTTCAAGGACTGCTACATGCTCCCCTAGTCTGCGATAAGCAAGAGAATCTTGCCCTCGGCCTGGTGGTCAGAAACTCTCGCGCAGGCACGGGCGGAAGCGTGGGCTTCGTCGCGGCGAAGCCCGCGAAGGGTGGTGCGTCGATCTGTCAAGTCAGGCTCGGGCTTTGCAGGCTGTCGCAAACTTGGGTACCTGATTTCATAAGCGTCCTTACAACCACGACCCAACTGTTCAGGATCTTTTCTAGCTGGGTTTTCTGGTCAGGTGAAAGGCTTGGAATTCCATGCTTTGGATCTGGTGAAAGCTACATAAGTGGGATCTTGCCGTTCCTCGAGGCGTGTGTCGCAGGAGTCGTAGGTCTAGGAGGTCCATAATTAAACAAATTTCCGCAGCAGGCCAAAGATAGCGCAAAGCTGCGCAGCGATTTGGAGCTCAGAGTCTTGGGCTCGTGCTAACCGTGACCGAACAGCGTACGTACAGACTCTTCAGGGGTTGCTGCAGGATTCGAAGCGCTGCTCGACATGGTTCCTCGCTGTTCCTGATGCTTTGGCCGCGGCGATGAGACAGAGATGACATTGACACTGGGCACGATCTGGATTGCCGGGTTACTAGGATCCACCTCAGGCCGGTTCCAGCAACAAGTCTGCAAACTTTGCTGCACATTTCAACCAGCAACTTACGCATGAGGTGAGCAGGGTGCTCCAAAAATGCTACAGCACCCGCATGGAAAGGCATTGCCAGGCCTTGGGTGACAAAGCACCCGTGATGATGGAGAGGCGCTCGTGATGCGGGTTTCGATTTGCCAGAACTCCTGAGCATCAGGACAGACTCGAGGTCGTTGCAAGCACTTGGAACCATTGGTGTGTGGACCTTGCAGAGAATCTTGCACTGATTTCTCTTTTCAGCTGACCCCTCAAGACTCCCAGCCTCGAGCCCGAAGACCTGAAGCTCTTCAAAGTTGCATTATTCATCTCTGGCTGCCGAAGCTGCTGTGCACCGAAGCCTTCCACCGGCCGCCCGTCCAGCGCGACAGCAGCGCACCGACGTTGAGCACCTTAGAGCCATGATGTCGGAGTCCAGAACAGGAAGATCAGTCGGAATCTACGTCAGACCTGCAATCTTTCAACCGGCCTAGGGCCTCAGCACACTGGAACTCCATTGCCACCAACTGTTACTCCTGCAATGAATTAAAGTTCTCCCGGGCACGAAGGTGTTGGGAACAAACGGCACATCGACCCAGTGCCGATCCTGGCTGTGCTTTCCAAGTCTCGGGCTCGTTTCCGGGGTAAGCACGACGGTGAGCACACGATGTAAACTACCTACCCACTCTCTTGCATGACTTCCGGGACCGTCCTCACGCCAATGATAGGTTTCGGGCGCGGCCCTGTGCTCAAAAAACTCTGTAAAGTCTTATGCTGTGCTTTTCACACAGATGCTGTGACTAGCAAAGCGGCTTCGATGTCGATGCTTCAAATCCAGTTCCTCCAGTACCGAAAGAGTCCCCTGGTCTCCCCTGAAGAATGCCACGCTACCACACCTGAATACAGCACCAGATGGCACTTGACAACGTCACACATTCTTCGAGAGCAAAGACTAGGGCATGAATCAGGAGAACATGTCCCGGTCAGCCAGAATGAACTCGCAGGTTTGGGAGCTAGCGACCTGACAAGCCCGGCCTCTTCCTTCCCGGTGCTACCGACGCGATCACTCACGTCCACCTGCGGAGTCGTCTTGGCATGGGCTGGGGATGAGAAACTGCAGTCATGAGGAGTAGAAGTCATCGGCATAGAAGAGATGCTCAAGTATATAACTTGGCGGGATGGCAAGCATTGGCTAGATGCACCATGCTGCACGTTGCACCCTGCCCAAGAAGCGCTTGCTGCTGCTGTACTGCAGGAAACAAGACCAGCCGTACCAGGCAGAAGGGCAGACGCAAACAACAAGCGCATAAGCAAACCGCGTAGACCTTAGCAGTTTTATCACATCTTGTCGAAGGAAAAGAGTGCCCAAAAGGCACAAAAAGGCCATCAAGTAAAGCTTGGAGGCGAAGACTATTTAAGAAGCTTGGGGGCTGCTCAGCTGCTTAGGGTTCGGATCCTAGGCCGTGTGAAGCTTCAGATTTCCCGAAGTCACTTCTCTAGAGTCACAACATCTCATGCGCAGAAGACTTCTCGAATTTTCATTTCTGGATGGCCTGAAGACCCCGCTTGTTTGCGGGATCTAAAGCGATGACGGTGACCTAGGTCAGGGCTTCGGTCCTTTGTTTGGAAGTTGCTGGAAAACAGCCACGAAACTTGGAGTTTGGGGCTGCGGGGCTTCGAGATTTAAGCTTGTGCCAGACGTTGCACTGCAGCTACTTCCGCCGCAAACACTGAAACCCCGAACCTCATGACAACTCATCCACCCGCCAGTGGCCCTTCGAGCAGCCCACCAATGCTCTCCTCTCTGCAACCCGGCGACGCCGCCGGAGTCGATATGCGAGCCATAGCCCATCAGGTCCTCTGCAGCGGCCTGCAAGGCTCAGGCTTGAGCAGTCCCTTTACACAGTCAAACATCTTCATCGTGTGCGCACAGGTGTATACACATAAGTTTATGTGTGGCCTCCGGGTGCACGGACGGGTAGTAGGCGAGGCGCAGGCCACCACCAGAGGGCGTCATCACCATGTCCACTTCCTTCGTCAAATTTGGAAGTTTCGGGCTTAGATGCCTTGAGTCAACCAAGACAACCGAGACTTAGCTCAGCTGCCTCTTCTGTGGCACCCAGCGACAGCTTCAGCGCTTTCGCCACCAACCTGGCTGGGCTTCTGGCTTTGGGGTTGGGCTTCGGCTTCGACCTTGAGACTCATGTACCTGGCTGAAGAAAACGATCTCCAAGCCTGCAGCCTTCAAAAGCCCCAACAAGGATGTACTGTAGGGCTCCGGCCGGGACACTCTCTCGCAACCGCGGAGGAACTCGGTTGCAGGCCTCTGGGCTCTTTGCTCTTCGGCTGTGTGCTTGGTCTGTGCATCGGCTTCAAGACTCTCCAGGCGCTCTGATGATTCATGGCGGCCTGCAGCCTCACCTCTCCAAACCCCGAAGTCCCCCAACCTGGAAGCATACTACCAAAAGCCTCGGGGAAACAAGACTTCCCGGAGAGCCTGGAAACCACCTCCGGCGTGCCCTCCTCCATCTCGCAGCCGCTGAGATCCTACAGAGCCGACAGCTTGAGGATCGGTCGTTTTTGCCAAGGAGCCTGTGGTGCTCTTGAGAAACCGCTTTGTGGGAAAGCTTCGAAGGCAAGACTTGAAGTTTCCGCCTGTGGCATTTCAGGTTTCTGCTGCTGTCGCCGGTTCTGGGCTGCTGACTGCAGAGGCATGGGCAAAGCTTCCAAGGCTCCGCAGAACGTTTGGGGTGCCAGACCGAAGCCAGATCCCGTTCAAGACCGCAAATCCATACTGTCCTTCACGTGGCAAACTCGTGAGCCTTCCGAGTCTTCCTTGCGCACCTTTTCCATCTGAAGCGCCTTGCATGGCCATCAAGAACGGATGTTCGGATGTGCTTTAAGCTTCGGGGTTTTCGCGTTGAAGGGTTCCTGGAGCCCTGCGGAGTCCCGGGCAATAGCGGTAGTTTCTTGGCGTCAAGCCGGCCTCAAAGACTTCTTGACGCCCCTCTAACCTCGACACATCGCGATCCAGTCGTAACTCAGAGCCGTCCACAGCACTCATGTTGTGCCCCCTATAGTTGCCTTCAAGCGGAAGATCCTTAGTAGATCACGACTTAAGTTAGAGCGCACTCTGACCTCCGATATCCCTCCCAAAGGAATTTTGTCGAACTTCGAAATATTTTTGCCCTCACCAGTCGAGAGGGCCCACAACACAACCCTGCCAATTTCCGGGGCACTTCAACACCACCGGCGAGGCCCGCCAAGCCGGCAGTTAGGGATTCAACAGCGTCGTTCGGCCTTTCGGCTGACGGCCGGGACGGGATGGAATACGTTCTTTGCTTCATATGCCCCACATAATATATACATATCTATATATGTATAATTTATAATGATTTGTTTGTACCTGTATGTATAGAAATAGCAATGCAAAGATGTAAACATCAGACGTGCGCGTTTCATGTGACAACATGTGCTTCCGGGTCTAGGACTTTGCACCATGTTGCGTGGTCAAGTTCGCCGGAGCCCTTCATTAGACGTGGACCAGCGGGCCGCGCTCCCCACAAAAGTCACAAGATGCCGCTCTCGGCGATTCGTGCTTCCAGGTCCAGGTGGCGTTAAGGGATGCTATGTGTTGTCAGAGTCACCCTATGGGTTCTACTACAGGGGCCGTAGTAGTTCGAACAGGCTTCCCTTCAAGGCAAGATTTGGCTTGCAGGGCCAGTCTGTGAAACATTTGTGAATGCGTTGCCAACTCGAGTTGAGGACATGCAATGGTACTGGCAGCGTCCCCTCCATCCGAATCGAGAATCGCAACTACAGCAGCATCCCGTCCTGGAGAAATCGCCCAAAAGCTGAGCCCCATTCTCCTGGCCAGGCATCTGCAACGGGTACAAGGTTTCGACAAGGGCTTGCGGCGGATGTCGGATGTCGGGCCGACACAACACTGCTGGCCCCGATGCGAGGACACTTGATTTCACTCCTGATTGGTACCTTCAAAGTCACTTCAAACATGATTCTGGCAGGTGCCACTGCGACACGTTGAGCACATTGATTCTCAGGAACCGTACGTGACCTTATTTAGCCACCGGCTCCTGTAGCGGTGAAGCCTCAAAACGAAGTTAGCATGTGCCGAAGTCCTGAATCCTTCTTACTACCGGCACTTCAAGCCCGTGAGCCCAGATCCAAGCACCTGTTGCTTCACGTAACCGCCGAAACCATAGCCTTTCCCCTTGTCCTTAGGCAGCCGAGAGGATTGAAGGTTACCCGGGCGTGGGATGTGGTGATACATGTTCGGGCTGTCGGTGTATCTATGGGGCTGCTCGAGAATACGAGAAAAAACTTGGGATGCTCGAAGCACCCCAGCCCGAAGCCCTCCGTCGATCCCATATCGCGACAGGCAATCCGACACAAATTCGACATCTACCTTGCGGAAGCCCTAAGCCCCGAGCCCAGGGCTTCACGACACAGCGCTGGTGAAGTCTAATACACCCACATGTCCTAGAACCACTCCCGTTGCCCAGCAATGAGAAACATGAGACAGCGAAGATGAAACTAGCACCGGTGTTATGCTGTAATGATCACGACCACAAGCCGCAGTTAACGTTCTTCAAGGCTGCAGAATTGGCAATGTCCCAGATTCGTACTTCCTCTTATCAGCAACCGGCTGGCGGAAGAACTTGTACCTTGGAAGGCTTTGGGCTCTCGGACTCCGGACAGTCGGACATCGACTTCGAGGGGTTTCTAAAGATTGCAAAAGCCCAACACACTCCAAGCTGAGGACCACGGGAGTCTGCAGGCAATGGCCCGTACCCGCATCCCGTATACGTACCTGCAAGTATCTATAGATATACGTGTGTGTGTATGCACATGCACAAGGATCCAGTCTGTATCAATATCTACATCCAAAACAATTTCGTACAGTATGCCAGTCTAAACCCCACCGAACGACAGAGCACGGAGAAGACCATTGGAAGTCCACACTCCCACATCCCGAGGCCATGCCGACACAGCCCCAAAACCCCAAGTCACGCAAGAGCATGAGAGCCGTGTGGCCCTGCCAGGATTACAGGCCAGAATTCCAAACCGGAACCAGCGTTGTGGCCGCGCAAACACCGCCATCGACCGACCTAGTCCTTCTACACTGAACGTATGAACCGCGCCGTGTTTCCACACGGTTTGGGGAATGTGCATAACCACGAAGCAAAAGAAAACCCGCAGCCAAACAAAGTAATTAGTAAAGAAACAAGTGCAAACGCTCCTGTACAGGCACAAACTCGAGAACATAGAGTAGGTTGCTACACCGTCTCACACGGTCATTTATAGTCCTAACACAACAAAAGATACATGTTGGCAAATTCTTCCGGAACACACTGATTCACAACGTACATGTAAGACATTGACTCAGTAGGTATCATCAAGTGTCAGGACACCGTAAGCAGGGTGCCAAAGCGATGCACTTACTCTCCAAGATATCGTTTGTACGGGCTGCGGAAAGGCAGCAGCTCAAGCCCCGGCCCTGTGGACTCCAAGACAATGGCCCTGCTGGCATGCTGTGGCTTCTTTCGGAGTGGCGGTCTAGGCTAGGCCTTACGCGCCTCGAGGCGAGAAAATGACGACTGCAAACCTTGAGACCACAACTTAGATACCTCTCACTTCCGAGGGCGTCCCAATTAGGTAACTAGGACGGAACATTTCCATCACGTGTCACAGGCACGCGCTTGAGCGGATGTCGTTGACGACCTCCTCGGGCACGCCATGCCCTGTGATCACCTGAGACTGAGAGGATGCGAAGGAAATGAAAGTGGTGATGTTCTGCCTCTGCCGCATTCTCAGATACCGCCTGGTGATAGCAAAGCTTGGCTACCTTGCTTGGCAGCCTGTTTTTCGAGAAATAGTCTTTGAAGGAATTGCCTTTGAGAGTGCAGGTAGATCTGTCTGCCGGCGGATTCGGGGCACAGAGCTTCGCGCACATTTTCACAATAACTTTCAGGTGGAATTCCGAGGAAGCTGCGACGACACACGCCTGTCTGGGTAGTGTGATGCGTGGGTCCTAGCAAATCACGATCCAGACCTCCTACAATCGGGATATCCATTTTTGAAAAGCATTCGGATGAAGACTCTCGAGATGCAGGTAAACTCGTCCCTATCAGGAAATTCTCCGCCCAGCGATCTAGCGGTGCTCAGGCGATGAAGACCAAGCATCAGAGTTCTGTTGATCAAGCACCTGCTGGCTGCCGCGACCGCTCCCGAAAGACCCGTTGGCCAGCAAAGAGCCGCACTTGCCCATGCGGACAGCACAGTGCGCACTCTTCGGGCACAACGGTTCCACACTCACCTACCCCCGAACCCCTCGGTCTCAAGCTCTAAAGCCTCAAAACCTCAAAGCCAAAAACCTAAGCTTTCCACTTTCCACTTTATGTTTGAAAGCAAGCTGCAGCAAAGCCAGTGGACTCGAAGGCGGCTGAAAGCCTCAAAAAGCGAACGCCCCCACTGTCCTTGACTTCGCTATCTCCTCAGACTTCAGATCTATCTACGAAAAGGTTGCACCACGTGACCTAGAACGAAGGTGCCACGGTGCCTTTCTCACCGTAAACTGTTCGAAACGGCGCAACTCCTCTTCGACTGCCAGAATACTGCTACACATTACCACGGCCACGTACGTCATCATGTACCGTCGTGCCCCATGTCGAATGCTCCTAGGTATTCCACATGAAACTATGGCGATGCAGTATATCAAACGAGGCATCTCCTTTGTGATGTGCTCCATACAGTATTACCCAAGCCCTAAGTTTCGCCTTCGCCAATACGCACCTGTCCAGCCTCCTCGTGTCGATGATCCAAGCTTTGTCCCCCAGGCACTGTGCAATCTTTCATATGCTTGATGGCAGCACACCGCCGCCTTATGCCTAGATTGTAACCTGACACCAAAATCCGAAAACCCAAGGCACTCGACGACCCGAGACGAGCTCCGAAAGTAAGGAGTGAAGCTTTGGCTTCTGTGCCGAGGGTCTCCTTGGCTTTTTGCAGCTGCTCGGCAGCGCTGCCGTTCACGAGAAGAGCCTCAGGGCAAAGGCTCAGAGGACCGCTTCCAAAGAACGAGATCAAGACTTCCAAGGAGAGCAGTGATGTTCATCATGTTCATGGGGTCAGGCACCATCTTTCTAACGGCATGGGACATGCGGCGCGTGCCGCAAATCCGCGACTGACGAACATTGGACAGAGGCAGGATAACTTGGATTCCAACTAAGACGTTGCGAAGCACGGGCTCCAGCTGTTCCAGCGAAGGTAACCCCCTATTGGGAGATGTAGACTTTTTCGACTTTTTTGCCGAGGAACTACGTCCACAATTTGAATCGCCTTCGCCTTCGGGCAGCTCTGTCTCGCTCTCTCTCTCTCTCTCTCTCTCTCTCTCTCTCAGAGGTTTGTGGTATTTACTGAGCATGGGGTTTGGGAGAAGCTGAGGGCCGCTTTCCTTGGGAGCATGGGAGATTGTGGCTGCGGAGGGTCTTCGTGGTGTTTTGTATCAGGACACCGGCGCATCCCTCCGCGCATCCCTCCGGCACTTCGGTTGTGTCCGTGTTCGGTTGCCTTCCCGTCCCATGGCCAAAGATACATGTCGCGCAACGTAGCCTTGCATCCCTGTTCAATCTGCTACTGGTAAGTCAGTATGTTTAGTTAGCTGACTTTGTCTGATGCCCTAGGCCATAGCGATACAGCTGAACAATGAACTGCGCCCCTCTGCACACTGTCTACAACTGATCTAGCTGGCTTGGAAGGCCGCGCATTTCTTGGCCTGCCTCCGGAACATCAGGTGCTCCTGAAAGCAGAGAAAACTCCTGCACAGCATTGAGTACAGTGTGAGTGTGTGTGACACATTGGACGAACATCTTTTTGTGGACTAGGCCTGTCCTACAGCAATGCTGAGGAGTGCGAAGCCAAGCCCATCAAAGAGCAGAGCCAGTGCTCAAGGGACCGCAAGAGCAGCCAAAGCACCAAAGGAAGAACCAAACAACACATCAGTCTAGGTTGTCGGATTCGGGTTCTTGGGAGTGCAGGCGTCGGGTGAGTCGGGTCGTTATCAGACGCAAAAAAGTTCAGAAGCCTGCCGCCGAGTAATCGCAGCTTGGGGTCTGACGCGCAGGTGGGGAGTCCAAAGGCTACGACGTCGTGGCTTTATAGGCCCCCCTGCCTAGCAAGCACCAACCCTACAAAATCCCGAAGCGCCAAAGCCACGCCATCGCCTAGACTCCTCCACTGCTTCGGGCACAGACTTGAGGTTTGGACGCACGGTCGGTTCTTAGGCAGACCTGTTTCGATTGGAATCAGATTCAAACTAGTCAGTGGTGCTTCGCTGTGTTTTGCACCAAAACCAACTATTTACAACTCCTCTTGTGTATAGCTTCTACACTCGAAGCCCCACCACCATGCAAATCCCACTAACGCATCAGCCGGCTCTGTCGCACCTCGGGGTGCGCTTCCCTCGCCATACTTGCCTCTAGGGCCTGGTCCAGAGACGCAAAGAAACGGGGCCACAGCCAGTCACGCTTCCAGTTCTGTACCCGCGACCATAGCAAGGTAACTTGAAATGGGCCGACTCCTGTAAACAACAAACACGATCGACGATACCCCATCTCGCTGGCCTTGACATCTGTTGGGTCACCCAGCTTTGTCTGGGCCCCCAGGTTCGTGTACAGACCTGCGACCATAGCCAAGGACGACTCAGTAGCGGACTCGCACTGGCATGTTTTTCCCTTTTCGATTATGTGCTCTTCTGGCTGGTCTCGCTACTGCAAAGGTCGAATACTCATGGCTTTTCTGTTTGGCTGGTTGCTAAGATCCAGCGACTGCTGCGAAGCATACGTGGCTGCAGGCGCGTGGGCGCATTGTCCGTGTGGATCTGTTGCGCGGGAAAGCATGACGAAGTAAGAGCTCTTCAAGTTCAAAGCAGGTTCCCAGACTTGACACCAGTCAGATTGGCCTTGTGCTTTTCGCATCAGCTCCATCTTCCTGATTATGCAAACCACACACATGTGACTAATATGACAGCCAACGAGGTCACGCGATCTTGCTGTTCTTGCGCCCCGTCTACTAACTCAAGTGCGGGCATGTCCTGATTCTGCATGGGGCTGACACTTCGGGATCAGGGGCCTCATGGGAGCCGAGTCTGGCGCCCACACGCCACTCGGGGCCAAGAGTCGTCTGGTTGTATATCGGCAGCTTGGACCCCCAGTTCATCATTTCTCCGACCCAGGTCTTCTCGTAAAGCGGCTCGGACCTTGGCTAGTAGCACTTCTTTCCGAGGGGGAGTCGGAGTCAACAACGTCGTGCGGGACACCAATCGACTATGAACGAGGGTTGTCTCAAGTTGGAAACTGCTGCAATAAGACTCTCAGTCGCGACAGCTTGTTTAGGCATCGAAACCAAATGACCCTGATCTGACTGAATGACCCACAAAACCACTAGCCTTCGGGTCCGGGACGCCCATCCTTTGGGCAGTGAATGCACTCCACCACCGCATCATAGTCCGGCAGGACGAAAGCCTCCAGTCAAAACAAAACCCCGAGCAAACGAAACATGCCCAACCACTTGGTTTTCGGAGCCCACATGCAATCGAGTAGCCTTAGCAAAACGAAATAGAAGTTGAGCCGGCATGGGCCCTGTTTGCAGAACCCCTGTTCAGCAGCTTCGCATAAGTGCGAAGGGACCCAGTTCTGCGGGCCACCCCTGCATTCCGACAGCAATGCAAAAGTGTTTCGGTCCCTAACGGGGAAAAACTCGTAAAGTCCAAGGCTCCATAAGAGAAATCCGACCGAGGCGATCACGGCCAGGAGAAGGATTCGGTACACGGTGCACCACGTGCTTCATGCCTCCGTGCTTCGAGGATCTTCGAGGCTTCGGCTGTTTGGAATCGGGATGTTTTCAGTAGCAATGGCCAGCATTTCAGCCCGTATCCTGGATTCTTACCCACGAGGTTAACAACTCCGGCCGACGAAAGCAGGCAGATGCAGGTAGCATGTCGCAGGTCACGAAACGGAGCTTGTATGAGAATCACTCAAGGCTCTAGGCATCCAGCAGATCCTCGAAAACCTTCAGTTGTAATCTTTGCGTTTGGCTCCCAGTGCAATGAGTTAAGAAATGCAGGCTCCTGGGCTTACACCGCCAGTTGCAACTCTTGACACCACAAGAAAGACTGCCAAATCTGAATCCACGCGCAGTCCGAGGCACGTCCGTTGGACCATCGGCTCATCATCCTTGGAGCTGGGCCGACTAAGGCTAAGGTCTCCGATCGGGACTGCGGGCTTCCAAAGGCTGCCATGCAGCTCTCCAACATTTACCACGAAGCCGTTCTTCGGCCGAACAACCTCTGGGCTCCCAGTCGGGAGTGTGGGCTTGGACACTCTGATTCTTGTCGGAAGTCCGGAAGAACCCATTCTGAAGTGCATTGAAAGTCTGTTAACTGTTACTCAAGACGATTCAGCGTGAGCAACAGGAGCTGAAGTTCTTGCTGTGAAGCACCATGGTTACAGTTGCTGATGGCATGGTGACGACGATGACGACGACAGCGGCCGCCACGACAACCACTGACAAAGGTTACTGCTGCTATGCCTCACGGTGCAACGATCTCCATCACTCACCATGGTTGCAAGACTAGGACAGCGATTACCACCACCACCAGCACGACCACCACCAACAACAACTCCTACTCCTACCTGCTGCTCCTGCTCCTGCTCCCGCTCCTACTCCTACTCCTACTACCCCCACGACTACGTACTACTGCTACTACGACGACTATGTCTACGTCTACGACCACTACCACTACTACCACCACTACCACTACTACCACTACTACCAGTACTACCACTACTACCACTACCACTACTACCACTACCACTACTACTACTACTACTACTACTACTACTACTACTACTACTACTACTACTACTACTACTACTACTACTACTACTACTACTACTACTACTGCAACTACAACTACAACTTCCACTTCCACTTCCACTTCCACTTCCACTTCCACTACTACTACTACTACTACTACTACTACTACTACTACTACTACTACTACTACTACTACTACTACTACTACTACTACTACTACTATACTACTACTATTGCCACTGCTACTGCCACCACTGCAAAACTGCTATGCTGCGAGGCCTACTCTTATTCTATGATGTGGTGAAGATTCTTCATAGGTGGCAAAGGCGACCATGACAGCGGCAAAGACGACGACTAGAATGACTCGAATCACGACCACCATGACGGCCGCGACCGCGACCCGCTCCTACCTGCTACACCATCGCTGCTCACCAGCGCCGTGCAATTGCCAAGCTGCGCAACCACCGATTTGCCTCAATGCCCAAACCCGAAATCCGACCCGTGCCTGCTGCCACTCCACATTGCGGCCCTGGCAGCGCAGCTCTTGGCTTAGCAGGCCGCGCGACAACCAATTGTTGGCAGCTTGACACACAACCGGCGATGCCGAAAGAATCATCGCGTTTTCGTCCAACCTCCTCGAAAACAACCAAGGGCAACGAAACCTCGAACCCGAATGCGACTCAAATCCTGAACTTAACTCGTGCAGACTCTCGCGTATCCGCTAAAACCAGCCTCGACTTGTGCGCGGCCATCGACGCCCTCGCCCGTGGCAGAGTCCACCAGGATCTGCAACATGGGGAGTCTTCCAGTTCGGTAGGCGGAGCAGGGAACTCTTTTTGAAGTCGCCAAGAAACCTGCAGTCCTCCTTCGGACTCTTCGTCGCCAACGTCGCCTAAAGGACTACAGACTACGGAGGAAGGCGACATGCCGAAACTGGCTCATGTTGCATGGGAGCATTACTTTTGTCGTACACACGACAGATGCCAGCCACTCTTCTCAATTCGGCTCGTCGATCAAACCAGGGAGCTGGTGGTGATCAGGGAAAATAAAGTCCGATCCTTGGAGCAAAGCGCTTCTCTCGGATTTCGACCTAAGCTGAGACCCGGTATTTCGAGGCTCGAGGCTCCCAATGCGGTTGAATTCTGGCGCGGTCCGCTTCCGGCTCGGTCTCTTGCGGCGGGTAGTGGGCAATAGTCACCTCCGACAGTGTCTTCAGGAGAAAACTGGATGCTTGGTTAGAGCAAAAGCAAGAAGCTTTAGGTCGCACTCGAATATAGGGGTCGAAAACCGAGGTTCAAAGGCGCTTTGGCCGAGTGGCTGGCCAGATGGGCGCGCGCCGCGCGCGCTGCAGGAAGAAGTCTGGCGCCAGGCCTAAAGCCACTGCGAAGAGCCTGGGCGAGGGCTGGAAGCCGTCGACAGGTGAGAACAGCACTGCCTAGGTATCTACTCTACTTGTCCGCTTGCCTGCACCTGGATTTTGAACAGCTAACGGGCACCAAGGAGCTCATACATCGTCTTGGACAGCTCCTCCACCTTGACTTACGTGACATTTCCCGAAAGGGTGTTTTGGAGCCTTGGGCTGTTGGGGCTTTCATGCCTTCACAGCTGGCTTTAGCTAAACGCAGATGGCTCCGACCCGGGGCCTCGTGGTAGAAAGCCGCGGTGGCTGCTTGGAGTCCAGGGACCTTTTGGCCGGTCTTCGTGTTGAAAACCCAGTGAGACATTAAGTCAAAGCCTGGAGCCCAAAGCGTAGTTAGGACACAACTCGATCGACAGCTGGTAGAGAAAGTGGCCTCCTTTGGCCACAGCTGCTGCTCGGGATGCTTCGTCTCTGTGCTATAGAACTCACGTCCTCCGCAGGGTGTCCAGCTCGTTGAGGCGCGGGGCAAGAAGCTGCGCTGTATGTTTCAGAATCCATGAGGCTGCTCTTTTTGTATGCATTGTAAAGGATTCCATGAGTTCGGCCACATTCTGTGAGCTTCTGTGCATGCTTGGCTCGGGTGAGATTGGCTGTGATTTCATCGCAGCTGAAGGGCCTGTGTTTGCGAAGTCGGAGTGGAGAAGTTTGAGCTGACACTAGGAGAACCTGCATCCACCGGCGGATCTGGACACATACCAATATCACGTCACACATGCTCATGTTTTTGTGTGAGCTGTCTACGAAGCTCTATTTTGTACTTCGTGTCTGTACACACATAGACATATGCCTAATACATCTAGTTTATCTCGCGAGTGCTGATGCAGAAAGGCTAGCCACTAAACCGTCCATCCTGAATCCCTCAATTAATCCTAAGCTCTAAACCTCACGTGTGACCGCGGTTTGACATTGACTTGTTCATTTTAGAAGAATAGACTGGTAAACGTGCACTGGTACCGAACTTTACAAAGAATGCACAAAAGATGATGAAATGCTGTGCCTGCGACGACACCAGAACTGATCCAAGAATGCCGGCCTCCCTCCATCTGAACATGAACTTCCCAGAGGGATCTGTTCTGGAAGCTGCAAGCTTGATGGATTGTTCTGCCCCGACCAGGGCCGTGCGACACAACAAGTCCTTCATCGGAACTGTAGTAAGGATCGGAGGCATCCATCACAACTGTCGTGTTGCGCACGAAAAGCCACTCGTTGAGGATGCCACCTGCGTTGCGGGCTCAAGCCACAAAGAGCTCTGTCCGTCTGGGTTAACCTCCAGGAGCCGGAGTCCTAGTGGTTCAGGGAAGTCGGAGGCGGCCACTTGTTACACAGAAAATGCTCCTCAACGCAATGCAAATCTACGGGGAAGTCCTGGGTCTGGGCATTCGGGGCTGAAGACTGTCAGCCACACAAAACGCGTAGTCTGACAGTCATAAACCTTGAGTCCAGCTCCTATACCCTAGTCCTTCCTCACGTCCACCGCCCCGCCTTTAACTCGGTTGCTAGGGCGTGAGTCCCTTCCTTTCCCAACCTGGCCGCAGACCCTACTATCCCTGCAAGGGCGACGAAGCTTAAGTTCCCGACTCCAAGCCGAATCCGCCCCAAATTCAACGAACTGAGCCTCTAACCTCGAACATCTCAAGACTTTTCAGGCCTCGGCCATCCTCCTGCTGGACTTTGTAGTACTTTCCCCGCGGGGTCGTCACAGAGCCATATGATCTCAGGGAGGCATATTTCCGAGAGGGCCCATCTATTGCACACTGCATGTCCTACTGCATGTATGCATGTGTGTATGCAGGGCTCTAGGAACACATGTTTATTTAAGCAAGCTCTCATTGGATTGGGACTGTCATCTTTCGGCCGATGTGGTGAAATTTGGGGAGCGACGGACTGAAACACAAATAACACCGATGCCTGGTTCCCTGTACTCCGTACACTGACTCGCACGACTTGCTCTACGTCAGCTACTCTAGCTGGGCGGGTTAGAGCCTGCTTGCATGTGGACCCTTTGGCAAAACACTGCGTCTGTCAAGCGAGTACTCGAGGACTAGTGAGGTCTGCCGAACGTTTGCCAACAGCTGTGGGCATCGAAAACATGCAAGCACGGAAAGACCCCTCCAGCAACCCCCAATGCCTGGGCGGATATCCGGAAGGCTCTGCAAAATGTGCCTCTCGGTGCTGCTTACTCAGGCTGCAACACGACCGGTGATGGCCAACTGACACAACTAATTTGAACGCTGTCGTGAAGGGAGAGACAGAGACCGTCTCAAAATCGCAAGAAGCCTCAGGGCCACATGTCGTGCACCCGAGGGGCCTTGGTCTCCTGAGGCAGGGAGAAGAACTGCCGGCTCTTGGCTAGGGCATCTGCCACGATTCCCTGGCGCGAAGGGCTGCGTGCCACTATCCGACCAATACTTGCCGGGTGGACGTTGTGGGTTGCAGGGGCGCATCAGACTCTGGACGTGCAGCTGCTTGCTTTGATTGCAGGGCTTGTGCTAATGCAGGCCACTTATGACTGTTTCCGCGTTCAATTCATATTGTAGCCTTAAGCCTTTTCAAATGCTGCCACTCGCAGTGGTGCTGAGGGAGTTCATGCATGAAATCTCAAGGCCCCAGCGCCGCAAAGCCGCTAAACATCCTAGGTGTCGGTTTCTGGAGGCATGCCCCGCCTCGGGCACTTCCGTGTCGACCAAGGTCACCTCGAAGCAGGAAGACCGTGGGGAAGTGAGTGCTGGAAGAAATGACACGCCCCGCACCACTCCAACCGATTAGGAGCCCTGGGACTTCTCGGAAAGGACGGGGCTCCTTCGGCTCTTTTGACTGACTCCATGCTGCGGACTACGGGAAAGGAGTGTCTGAGGGACTGAGCGTGGGGCCATGCCCTGGCGGGCGAAGGCCCGGCGTAGGGAGGCGACCTGCGGAAAGGAAAGGTGGGCCTGAATCTCAAGGTGTCGCTTCTCTTTGGCTTGGGGAAGTCTCCAGGACCCTCACTAAGCTGCGGCCGCTGAGGTGCGACTCTGAAGGCTTTCCATGCTGAACTGTGGGTCATGTCTCCTACAGTACCAACATGTACGTCCTTTAGAGGCTTCAAGACGCTAATGAAAGTGGCGAACCTGTGCGAGCATCAAGTATGCAAGTCCGGATCCAGAACTACCCGAAGCACATGGACTGTCATGATGACGACGACGACGATGAGGATGATGCTGAACGTCAAGGTGAAGGTGAAGGTGAAGATCTGGAAGGTGGACATGGAGACGAACATGGAAGAAGACAAAGAATAAGATGATGATGAAGAGGAAGAACACTAATGAGAATCACATGAACATGAAGTACGTCGCGATGATAGCGTAGATGATGATAATGATGATGATGATGATGATGATGATTATGATGGTGACGATGATGATGATGATGATGATTATGATGGTGACGATGATGATGATGATTATGATGATGATGATGACGATGGTAATGATGAGGATAATGATGACAATGATTGTGATAGTCATGGTGATGCCGATAGTGATGATGACAGAACCGGCACAATAAAAGTAAGCGTTGCGGCCCACGGAAGATAGGAATACAAGAACAAGACAACAGACACACACACACACTCACACACGCACAAGCTCTTGTAATAGTGAGCAAGCAGTGATCAATCATAACAACAATAATCGCAATCGGGATGGCCGATATCGAGAACCGGCATCATGACAATCCCAACAACCCTGAGCATCATCAACATCATGAGCCATGGCAAAACCATGGCAATGGCAATTCTCATGATCAAGCTCCTGCAATACATTTCCGCGCCTGATATCAACTGCCTGCTCACTCTGCTTGCTCATTCTGCCCTCAGCGTCCGATCCCAACAAACCTAACCCAAATTTTGTAAGGCATGGCAAGGGCGCCTGAGCTTCACGCTCTGCCTCATTGCCGTGGCGAAATGCAGCTATGGAGACCTCTCGCGCACTTATGCGTTCAGGATGGCGATCCAGACTTGTGATCTGCAGGTCCGAAGGCCGAAGGTGAGAATCGGGTTTCGTGATCAAGTCCACCCGATTGAGCTGAAGTCAACCGAAACAAAGGTTCCCCCCGACCCACTCCCCTCCCTCCCTCGCCTTTTCGATCTGTGCATGCTTCGCCCAGGACAACTGGAAGAGGAGGCCTGGGACAAAGGTCCACACACAACCCTATACTGGTGATGTCAAGCGCGTTTCCGTCACACGTAACCGCCTGATTGCAGGAGGCAAGAAGACAGAAGCCTACGCTTCATCTGAACAGCGAACGGATAGTGATGCCGGATCTCTGTCTCGGAAGCCCAGACAACAGGCCTGACCATGGTCTGTGGGCCTAGCTCGGAGCCTGAAATGCACCGCAACTAGCAATTTCAAAAAGCAACTCAAGACCGGAAGCCCGAATCTGCATGTCTAGGCCACTGACAAGCGCGCAGCAGCAGCAGCACCATAGCGTTGGAGAGCAGCGAAGCACGATGGATCAGAGCCAAGCTATAAGCTGAAGGGGCAAACTGTCAGGTCCATTAAGGGCAACTCGGGCGCCGTTGACCTCTGACCGGAGATGCAGCAGCTCCAGACTCCAAACGGACTGTGGGACGGCAAGGAATCGGCCTTTTCGCTTGTTCTTCTGACGGCGCCTGCGCTGAGCTGGAGTTCGGCTCGGCGCAGGATGAATTCGCACGCAGCTCTGCACCAAAAGGAAAAGGATGGGATTTGAGGCCGACTTGAAGCTAAACTGCAACGTCACAAGGCTTTGAGACGACAGTCTTGCAAGCCTCTCCGATCCTGCATGCTCCAACTCTCCAACCACGTGATCCCACCCCTCTTCCCTGAAACCTCGCTGGCTCAGTCCATGTCGTCGAAGCAGGCCTGACAGTGGTGAAGTGTCTCAGCTCCCAAGCATTGGAACGTCAGAGCCACGGAAAACTCTTGATGCACCCAAAACCAATTTGGACACTAAAACACCTCTACTCTACCCTACTTGAACACCTCGGCTCTGTCGCGACTCTGTAGGCACATCGGTATCAGCAGCCGTCGCCACCGCCACCCCCACCCTCCGCAGCCACAGCCAGCCACTGCGGCAGTGGCGGCCACCCGCGCGCCGTAGCCACCGCCGCATGTCGTCATCATCATCATCATCATCATCGTCACCATCATCATCATCGTCATCGTCATCATCATCACCATCAGCATCACTATCCTCACCAGCATCATCATCATCATCCTCATCACCATCATCACCATCATTACCATCATCCTCATCCTCGCCATGACCATGATCATGACCAGCATCAGCACGATCATCACCAACATGACCATGATCATGATATATCATGATCATGATCATGATCATGATCATGATCATCTTCATCATCATCATCACCACCATTATAATCATCGTCGCCATCATGATTGACCTTCGTTACGGCGAGACGAGTTCATGAGGCCAGGCGTGACACGCTAGACCGCTAGGCATACTGCACATAAGAGACAGGAGACCGTGCATGGCATGCCCTTGTTTTCCAAGAGTTTTGCTCTGTCTCAACTCTGCCCATCCCCCCAGGAACACACCGATATCCGGGCTGCTGACTGACACCCGTGGCGGAGGCTGGAAGGGGCCTCTGTCAGCTGTCTGGCTACACTCTCGGATTGTCATTTGGAAGCTCCACCTGGCTTATGGCGACCCGTCTGACCGGTGATTCGCCCGGCTCCAAGCAGCGAAGCTTCAAGCTAGGGCAGCTCTGGTTTGATCCTCCTGCAGTGCCAACATGCCTTCTCGAAACGGCCCCCGACCTGCTCCCGCTGTTGCTGGCGGAAGCTTAGCCTCAGCAAGGGCTCTCCGCAACCGACGTTCCGAACTGGAACTCTTTCCGTGAATCTAGAGTCTAGAGGTCTCAATCCGAGGCCTTCCTGATGTTGCTCGCTTTGGGTGGTAAGATACAGTAAGAGCTTCCTCTGGACTCATACCCTGAATGACCTAAAGTGACCTAAAGCTTCAAACCTTAAGTTCGCAACATCTACTACAGGATCTGAACCCAGATGGGCGACCCAGGTGACACAAGCACGCTCACTGCAGCATAGAGTGGCAAAGAGCACGGCACGTCACACCTCCTCTCGAGTTGGAGTAGAGAAAGCCCTGCTTTGGGCCTCATGCTATGTTCTATGTCCCAACTCCCATGCTGTGGCTTCCGGTGCTTGAGTTTTGTGGGTCGATACGACTGTGCTGCTGCGGTGCGGCGCTAGCGTCTGCCGGTTGGGGGCTTTTTCCAGCATGGCGACTGCAAGCTTGAATGTGGAATGCTGAGACCGTGACTGCACCACCGTCCCTGGGCAGTTTGGCTCGGTGTAGAATAGATCCAGTTTACTACTCCAGGCCCGAGGAACTGGAGGCACACAAGAAAAGATGGTATAAAGGAGCCTGCATGCCAGCACTGCTTGGCACATCCATCTGAAGCAGAGTCGAGGATTTAACATACAAGAGCTGTTAGTCTGCGGATCGATTCCATGCCGAGAAGTTGCTTCACATCCTCTTTCTCTTGCTCGTTCTTGTCTGCTCTCCTTTGCCTCATTCTAGCCATAAATACCATCGTCATCGTCGCCATCAGCAGCATCACCATCACCATCAGCCGCATCAGCCATCATCATCATCATCATCATCATCACGAGGATCATGGTTTTCAGCGTGGTCATGACCGGTGTGATGCTGGTCATTCCACTCGTATCGCAACAAAGTCCTCGATTCAGGGGTG